AAACAAACAAACAAACAAACAAACAAACAAACAAATAAATAAATAAATAAATAAATAAATAAATAAATAAATAAATAAATAAACAAAATATCTTGACATTTAGAATTATGGGTTTTTCAATTTTTTTGCTTTTGTTTTAAGGTGGGTATCTATATATTTGATGTTGTTACTTGCCAACAGGTCACCTCCAGCTTATGGCAGTCCTATGAATCTCCAAAATGTCAATAAATAAATAAATAAACAAAATATCTTGACATTTAGAATTATGGGTTTTTCAATTTTTTTGCTTTTGTTTTAAGGTGGGTATCTATATATTTGATGTTGTTACTTGCCAACAGGTCACCTCCAGCTTATGGCAGTCCTATGAATCTCCAAAATGTCCTGTCATCAATGGCCCTGCTCAGATCTTGCAGACTCAAGCCTGTGGCTTTTTTTTTAGGTGTCCATCCATTTCATTTTTGGTCATCTTCTTTTCCTGTTACCTTCCAACTTTCCCAGAATTATTGTCTTTTCCAGGCAATCCTGCCTTTTCATAATGTGCTCAAAGCAGGACAGCCTCAGCTTCAGCATTTTTTTTATCCAGAGAAAGTTCAGCCTTGATTTGATTTAGGAACCACTGGCAGGTATCCACAAAACTCTTCTCCAGCAACAAAACATGCATTAATTAATGGATGAGAAATTGCCTTAGCCACAATATTTAATGTATCTCAAATAGCTAACTTTGCATTGCATTTGGTTCAGCAAAAAATATATTTCAGTGAAGAGGTGCCTTAAAGTTCCTCTTAAAGCCTCCGATAGGGCCATGTGCCCAAATGACTCCCTCCTAGCTGATGTCACACAGCATGTCAGAGGGGGAAATTTATCTTTACAAATCCATGCATGCTTAAATTATTCTCATGACCCTAACTCAGCTTATGATCAGCATGGCTAGATCCAGCATGGCATTATTGTAGGAAAAGGCTTATACCCCAAAAGTTGGAAAAATATTCACCATCCCCCTTATTCAATGGTCAAAGAATCTCAGTGGTCAACGAATCTTACTGTCTCATCTATACATGAATGTGGGTCCTTCAGATGCCAATTTTAATCAGATATTTCATGGCTATATTGGGAGTGTGTATATGTGTGTGTAAACACAAATGTATGCATGGAGCTGATTATTACATCCTATTAACTTTTCCTCTTCTTTCCCTCCCTCTTTTCCTCATCTTCTTCCTCTTCATATTAGAAATTAAAACCTTATTTACAGAATGCAAATTGAATATGCAACAGCTGTGGAGACTCTGCAATGATTTGAAAAGCTGCTTTGGGATTACAGTGGTGGTGCTCACTAAGGGCAGAATTCTTGACTACCCTTGGCGTCAGTAGTTTCCAGATGATCTTAGGTCTAGGTTTTGTATGGTTCAGTTTTACTTCACTCTTCGGAATATTGCTCTAGCGATGGGATAATGAGGTAGCCTAACTGAGTCCTGAAGTACTGTTTCAATCAGGCTTTGAATGCAGAATTCAGTCCCACTGTATTCCATGTGACTTACTGTGAAATAAGCATGTGAGGCATAGGTGTTTAGGTCTAAACCCAATGGCTAGTTCTGATTACAATAGGTCCATTGAATGAGTTGCTGACTGGTGAATCCACACTTGCAAAATCCCATTCGTTGGATGGGTCTGCTCTAGTTGGGATTAGCAACTGGATTCAGAAATCAGGATGCAATATTATACACCTTTCTTTACAACTATCCTCACTTTAGCTCAAAGGGACCTTCTTCTGAGAAGCCAGAATTATGACTATAATGTCAATTCAAAAAATTAAAAAGTCAGAATGGGTCTAGTTCCATGGTCTTTAGTGTTCAGGAGCTATTGGGCGAGAGGGCAATCCTTTAAATATAGTATACTCAGAAGTATGTGGGTATTCATGACTGACCTCAATGGTGTTTACATAGGACTGCACTGTAAACCGTGTATCCTTGCCATCCAAACACAATTAGTGGCTGGATTTCAGTTGATCTTTTCAAACTGTGCAGTTTATTTTAATGCTAAAAAAGGAGGAGTGATGAAGTCTCAAAGCGTGCTGCAAGTGTTAGTGGTCCTTGACAACGTGCCGCAATTCCATTCATCTTGTCGGGATGTTGTTGTTGTTTTCTCTTTTTGTCAAAAGAAAAAGGACAGAAGCAACAGTAGGAAAATACAGGATAGTTACCCCTGGGGAAGAGCTTGTCAACTCCCCCAATAACATTTCATGACTAAAGCAAGACAACAACACCATAAAAGTCTCACGTGGAGGCAACCAGCAGTTGTCAATGAGAAAATATCGCGAAAAGCAAGGGGAAAACATGGAATCACTTACCTTAAGCAACCCAGATTCAGCCAAGACCTCAAAAGCTAGCTGCAGAATAATAGCAAGGTCCTTTCATTGACTGCAAAGGGATTCCTAATGTCTACAGCAGCTCCTTCTAAAATTGATGTGAGAGAGGGAAAAGCCTCAGACTTTCACAACCACTTTGGTGTTCTTGTTTTTCCCAGTCATTCCCCTCCTCCCAGGACAGTTGAACAGATGTCTTTGTTCTGAATGCTTAACCAATGTTTATGCAGCTGGATCTCTAGGGGGGGGGGAGGATGGTGTTCCAGAGTTGCAGGGTCCGGCAGCTTTTTTGAGAGATAGGCAACTCTGTTCTGCCCCCAATTGAGAAGAAAGATTATTTCTTTCTTTTTTTCTTGAAGCAGAAACACTGCTTATTTCAGCAAACAGCTAAATATTTTTTAAAACTCTTTTTATAAGCAACTGATGTCGTTAACATATTATCAGCAGTAGTTCAAGGTGAAGTCATTGCCTGTGCATGAACTTGTGTTAACTGATTAGCAACAAATTAACAATTATAATAATTGCTCATGCTGTTTCAGTCCACAAATTAAAAAAAAGAGAGGGGGGTGTCCAGCCTTAGTCATACTTAGAGCAGATTCATGGAAATCAGTGAGATTTATAATAGTCTTAACTAACTTGCACCATAAAATTGCTAGATAACTCCGTGGTTTAGGCATCTGGCTGTGGAGCCAGGGGTTGGGAGTTTGATTCCCCCACTGTGCCTCCTTAGCAGGGGCTGGACTTG